AAACGAGAATTTTTTAATTAATAAAATCAAGGGGTAAAACCAAAAATCCGTTGAAACAAAAATCCGTTGAAACGAGGTCCGTTGAAACGAGGGTTCGACTGTATATACTAAATACGTGAAATTCAAAATTAGCCGATCAGAATTTTATATCACCCCAAAATTTTATTAATAAAAAAGATCTTCCTTCAGCATATATAACAAGAAAAAAAAAATGTATATGAAAGAAATAAAAAAATGCCAAATCAGAATTTTATTACATCTAACAATGTTACCACCAATATTGCTAGCAACAATAACAATAAAATAAGAATAGAGATATTACGTAAATTATTAGTTCATTCAGATGGGCGTGACAAATGTTTGAAAATCTTGCAATATTTTAGTAAAATAATTTTATTGCTTCATGTAAAAAAAAACAAATCCAAACATCCAATATTATATTCAAGGCTTACAGCATTAACCACACAATTTTCAAATACACGTAAAATAATTCGTTTAGCACATTTTCTTGAACCATATTCCGAATTTAAGGAATATATTTTTGGTGCAAAAAAAGCTTTACCACCACCCGAAACTCCATTACATAAAAAGTCTGTATATTACCTTGGATTTTTGAATACAATATTTGGAATTTTCAATGATATATTTGATGATTTGTATTGTCTTGGTAAAATTGGAATATTGGACAAATCTGTTGCAGTAAGAGCAGAACCAATTGCAATCAGATTATGGTTTTTCGGTATTATGTTAGACATAAATGATATAATATATAGAATTAGGTTGACAAACCAAGAAATCAATAATATTAATATTGAAAAGAGTGCTAACGTTGAGAAAATTAAGAATAATAATTTAGAATTAAAATTATTAAAAGATAAAAAGTTTATGTTGTATAATAATTTAATAAAATTATTTGCTGATTTCATATTTTGTGGTAAACATATTTATTTATATTAATAGGAAATTTTGGAAAAATTTTTTTTTAATTATTATTTATTATTATTAGGATATGATGTTTTTGAATTGGATTTATCATATGGAATTCAAGAAATTACTGGAATGATTTCTGGAATTCTAAGTAAGTTAAAAAATATAATATTAATAATATTATTTTGCTTGTATATTAATATTATATTATATATGAATAGGTTTTTACAAACTATGGAAGAAAGAATTGACAAAATAATTTCTTTGCTATATACATAGAAAATTTTTTCTATATAACTTTATTTTTATTTATTATCATTTTATTTATTAATTAAGCTATTGAAATATTTGTTTTTATAAAAAATATAAACAAAATATATTGTTATTTCTCAAGAATTATTTTCCAAGGTTTTTTCTATTTGAATAAATTATTATAAAATAATAATTATATCATTAAATTATATGTATATAATTTATATACTTTAATTAATGTCTCTCACTCTTATATTCACCTATCAAAACAAATTTCAATCATCCATTCATTTGTTAATTCACAAATTTAATTTAATTCAGACAGCTGACACAATTTAAAAAAAATCTAATTATATATATCTATTTAAAATGTTTTAATTTTCATGATAATACCATTAAAAAAGGTTAAAGTATAGAATACGCATTGAATAAACCATTAAACCATCAATGTTTGTATCTGTTCACCATAAATTCGTCATGTTCTTTCACAATGCGACCACCTGGACTGGCATCATGATGACGAGGAATACCAAGGTTCAGGAATGGAGGATATGTTGCTTTTCCATTCTCGTCAACCCAATCATAATCTATAAAGACAACTTTACCATTTATGGGTTTGATAAGGACCCCAAATATAGTTCCATCTGTAGTGATATTATTACTACCAAAAGTGTATTGGTTAAGTGACATTTTATATGTCTTGTAAAAACAATTTTTAAAACTCTCTCTTCTATCATCTTCACAGGAAAAAGTAACTTTTGACATTTCATAGGTGATTTTCAATGCAAAATCATAATCACGAGCAATTGGATTTACACTCCCTGGACAAAATTTCCGTGACATTTCTGCGTGTTTTACACAAAAATACTCGAAAACTAGTGAGAAAACATGGCCTTTTGTTCTATGTAACTGCACTTCAAATGTTCGAAATTGCATATTTCCATTAATATTTATAATCTAATAAAATATATTTTTTGGGTGATATGTAAATTCTTAAAATCGTTTAAAAATGTTGGTTCCCAAGAATTTTTTTTGTCCCATAAAATATCCCACATAATAATAAAAAGTCTGAAAACTCCATAAAAGAATTTTAAAGTATATGATTAAAATTCGTTAGAAATTGATAGAGTTACATGTATTGAGAAAATTTTCGAAAATCATAAAATTCAAAATTATTGTTTTGAATTTTTTGAATTTATTGAAATGACAAAAACAAGAGAACTTACAGATTTTGAGCGGCTATCTATGGATTATGGAAGTGTAAAAGGCATACGATAAGAGAAATAACAGAAGTTTTAGGAATCCTCAAATCTACTATTTCTGATAATATTGCTAAGTGTAAAAATTCGTCCTTTACTACTAAACTGCCCCAGATTTTGGATGAACGTGACAAGAGAGAAATTGTAAAAATTGTAAAAAAAAAAAGAATAATAGCTGTCGAAGAAATTAAAGATGAATTCAATATCGCCAAACCAATAGAAGTAAGTACTAGAACTGTACAGCGTGCTTTGCATTTTGGATTTTTGAATTTTATGATATTCGAAAATTTTTCGAAAATTTTCTCAATACATGTAACTCTATCAATTTCTAACGAATTTTAATCATATACTTTAAAATTCTTTTATGGAGTTTTCAGACTTTTTATTATTATGTGGGATATTTTATGGGACAAAAAAAATTCTTGGGAACCAACATTTTTAAACGATTTTAAGAATTTACATATCACCCAAAAAATATATTTTATTAGATTATAAATATTAATGGAAATATGCAATTTCGAACATTTGAAGTGCAGTTACATAGAACAAAAGGCCATGTTTTCTCACTAGTTTCGAGTATTTTCGTGTAAAACATGCAGAAATATCACGGAAATTTACATGATCTACATTTGTCCGGATACTTTTGGCATGTATTAGTATATAATATTTTCATAAGTAAATATATATAAATTTAGCTTTTTTAAAAAAAATTTTGTTGGAAATGTAATATCAATTAAATTTCTATAAAAACAGTTTTTGGTAAATAAATATCTTTAAAGTTTATTGACCAGTAACCCCATTATAATATTTTTTAAAAAAGATCTGTAACACAAATTCAAACCTTAATTTTATATATATTAAATAGTATATACACAGAATTATAGTGAAAAACTTTTATTTGTGATAAAGGGATAAATTTATTTCATTTTTTTTAACAATGATTTAATCTGTGGCGAATGTGGAAATTCTCTAATAAATGTTGATTTTGGCATAGGATTAGATGAAAAATATTCATACTCGTCTACCAACTTTTTCACCTTTTCCTGTGAAAATAACATATGATGGAACTATAAGTAAAGATTTTGCTGTAAAAAAAGCAAAGATAAAAACACACTGACATCTAATAGCAGAAAATGAGAAATTGTTGGAACTAGCAAAGGAAATGACACTTTTTCTATTACTAATTTACTTTTAAAAAGTTCAAATGATCTATAAATACCATCATATTTTAGATCAATTAATAATGATTCCGCAGAATCACCTAGATCATCAAATGAATTTTATTGAATTAAAAAAAAAGTCATATATGTTGCTTATAAAACTATAAATAAATATTGCAATGACAAAGACACATACCCATATTTAAAAAGCCAAGTGCTTCAGTTAGTCTACCCTGGAGATTTGCCATCTTATTAATAGTGCCTTTTGCTTTCAGATGAACCTTCGCATAATCCTTTTTTTTGTAAAGAGGTGCAGCTGAGAGGCTTAATCTCGGAATTTAGGATAGGAATTTTATCCACCAGACAACTAAAATCTGGCCACTTAGATGTGCCAATAGTACTTTTATTTAGTCTTAATGTGTAGTTTTTATAAGTACGGTCACAAAAAATGGGTTTAATGATTGGATATAAAAAGTAAAAGCAATGTTTTCATAAATGATAGGAAGTTCTGATTTTCTAAAATGTAATAAAAAGAAAAATTAGTTTCACATTTCTCTAGCTTTATTTTGAAAATATTTACATACAAAGATCTTGACAGCCTCAACTTACAAATTATTAAAAATTCTAAAACATTTATCAGCAATTTCACTTTTATCATTTAAATTTAACTCATGTTCCAAATTCAATGAAGCATAATATGTAACCTCAAGTAATGATGATGAAACAGATTGTGATAAAATTGGCTGTTCAACCTTATACAGATTCAAACTAATTATTTTATTCCATTGTGATGTTGAGAAAGTTGGTTTATATAGACATGGAAGTGTTAATACAATAATAGATGAAATGGCGCTAATATAATAAAAAAATGAATTTTTATATTTTCATAAGTATACAATTCAACCATAAATATTGGAATACTTACAGTATTTCATATGTATCTGCCCATGCTAATTTTACTTTTTTATTTTTTACTGCAGAAATTAGGTCCTTAAACTTTTTAGAAACATTTATTGAATTGGGTCTGGGACACTTTACCAACAACACACTGGGTTACATTTAATCTCTACACAATAACAAAATGTTAAAATATCACATTGTGTATTGTTGGTAAAGTGTCTTGTCAGTAAAGTGGGTGTCAGTAAAGTGTCCAGTCCGATTGAATCAACTATCCACTATAAAATAAAAAGAAAGCTCAAATAATTACAATTTATGCATAAAAAAAGGAAATAAAAGTTATTTACAACATACATCATTTTGTGATTCTTCTATATGTTCAAATTGTTTTTCTAAATCTTTAAAATCAAAATTGATCACTTCATTTTCACAAAAAAAAGGATTTATATTTCGAATTGTATTCTGTAACAATAAAAAATTAAAAATCAAGTAAAGCATATGTAATTTCTAGATAAATGAAAATTTGAAATACCTCATCACTATCCAAATTTAGAGAAATCTTTTTTTGAGGAGTTAATGGACCCTCACTGGATTCATAAGCTCATTTTCGTTCTTCAAGGCTTGCAAGAGACTTGCCATCCAATTAACTATATAGAGTGGCAACAAGTGGTGATAATCATCATTCTTTTAATAAACACTTCCCCATTTCTTTCATCGATATTTTGTACTTTTTTTCTTTTTCCCACTGATTCAGACATGGTTGAAAAAAAAAGAATTGATTGATCGACAATCTACATTTTTGGAAAAACAATTTATTTTAAGGGTAGAGTATATGTAACACGAATCTACTATGATCTACAATGGCTAATTTTGATTTTATCCGGTTAAAAAAGTAAGCACATATTAAAGACAAATAAAAAATAAATAAAATTGTACAAATTTTATATCTTTAGCTTCTCAAGATTCCGAGTTTTAATTTAATATACAAACCATAAAAAATTATTCTATTCTTGTTAGAGTTATTACAACTTTAAAGTCAAACCTATTTTCAGATTACTAATTAAACATAGTAAAATTATAAGTGAACATAT